GAACATCTATAGTTTCCTAAACACTTGGCAAGAAGCTCTCTGTACTTTCCTAGTTCAGGTACTTAAAAAAATTCTTAAGGATGAAGAACTTTTGCTCAGTTCCAACTATGTGCTGCAGGATAATGTTTCTTGCAAATCCCACATAGCATTTTGCAGTCAAAATGTCTTCTCCTCTTGCCAAGAATGCTACTTGCTTTGGTAGAAAATTATTCACCAGACATAATGTAAAAGGTTTAATACATTCCTTTTTTAAAGGAAGTAAAATCTTGGCTATACATTCATGCACATGCTGATTTAGTGTCCACTTTCTAACTAAGAGCCTAGCCAGATTGTTGGAAGCAATCCAAAGACTATTTAATGGCATTCTAGGAGAACTTATGAAAAACTATCACTCCTAAGATGATATCTACTCCTTGACAAATATTATTAACATTAACTAGTCTAGTTGAGAGATGCCTGTAATTCCTCAAATAGTTTTAGTCCTGGTAAGTATGATTTTTTTTCAACGCCATGATGGGTGTGTCTACACATTCATTAATGTACCATAATTATGGCACGTTAAGTTTAGTACCTGTAATGACAGGCAGTAACTTATTGCACTGTAATTGGTGATACTCCACTGTAGCACTAGTGCATGCTTTTTTGTGATGCTAATTCACAATAGATTTATTCTGCTGTGCATTAGTGCATTAGCATGGTTTTTGCCACCATCCTAATGCACAGTAGGTTTAGCCTACTGCACATTTAGCATCTTGTGTGACGTGCCCAATATGTTTTCAATTTAGCTGAAATATCTACTAGTTAGTATTAACATCCAGTATAATTAATTGTCAGGTCAAACTTATGCAATTTGCCTTTAATATTTAGTCAGAGATGTTGTTTTCTGTAGGACGACCAAGGTCCCAGTGGTGACCATGATGACCCTGGTGGCCAAGCACCTCCTGCCCCACTCCAGCTCCTTGGGGTACTCTCCTGTTTAACCTTTCCTGTTATGCCTCAGTGTAACTAGTAAGATTTAGGGAGGCTGCCCTAGGGCCCTAAAATGAGCCTCAGACTCTCTGTCCTCCATTATCACATGCACCAGTCTCACTCCTCTGACTTTTAATAATGGAGAATTATCTTCCCTAAGGCAGCTTGTGCCCTAAGGCATGGATAGGGCCAAGGGTATCATGCCTTAAGAGCAGGGATCCTAGTTTTCTTTGATTTAAAAAAAATCCCTAATTTTCAGTTAAAAAAGTAACCCCAAATCCATTGTTCCATGATTTAAATGAAATGCTACTAATAGGTAGATATATATAGTGATGTTTAGTTTTAATCATGGGAAAATGTGGATTGGGGGTTACTTATTTTTAACTGAAAATTGGGGGATTTTTTTAAAATCAGAGAAAACCAGGATCGCTTCTCTTAAGTCACAATACCCTTGCCCCTATCTATGCCTTAGGGGACAAGCTGCCTTAAGGACAATACTTCTCCATTCTCCCCTGTAGCCATGCCCGTGCTTTGTAGATGTTATTCTGACAATGTACTGAACCTTCCTGAAGGGGCCTCTGTCTTTTTGGGTTTAGCCCAGGGGTGGGAAGAATATGGCCTGTGGGCCAGATCTGGCCCATGAAGGGGATATATCCAGCCTGTGGCAGGGCCCTTGGTCCTGCCTGGCCCAGGCAACATCCTGCTCTGATGTGTCATGCTGCTTCTGAGCAGACAGTGGGGTTGGTGCAGTTCTGCAGCTGGATTGCCTTTCTAAGCCACTGGCCCCAGCCCTGCAGTACTGGTGGGGACCCACACGCAGCCCTGACCCACCCTGCACCTGCTGTGGACTTACCTGCTGACGCTGAACAGCTGTAACAACAGCAGCACCAGTGAGGCAGAAGTGTTCTCAGCATGGGGGGGGGGGGAAGGGCCCCTCATCCCCACTGCTGCCCCCTGCTTCCTGCATCAGTTGCAGGGAGCCCATGCTGAGCTGCCCTTTAGCTCCACTGCACTGCCTCCACTGCCCACTGAGCAGCTCCTAAGCAGCAGTGACAGCAGAGGAGATACAGGGTACCCCAGCGCAGGGTCCATGTAGCTGCTGCAGGAAGCAAAGTGTGGCGATGAGGGGAAGGGGCTGCTTTTTCCCTGTGCTGAGCACAGCCCTCTCTATCTCAGTTTCCAGGCCCTGGCCCCTATTTTGGTCTTGCCTTTGGGCTCCTGGCCCCAGCCCATGCCTCAAGTTTCATTTCAGGCCCTTGGTATCCCTGACTCATGCTAGGCTGCTCATAATTTGACCCAGGACCCACCCCACTTCCCCTCCTCTTCTCCCTGGCATGCAGTCAAGGCAGTTCCCAGGTCAACTCAGGCCCACTTGTCCCAAGGCAGGGCTGCTTATAGCCTAACCCAGCAAGGCTGATCATGCTTCACTAGGCTCTGGACCTTTAACTGAACTTCGCTCCCTGAATCCCTGACTCTGTAGGGCTACTATCCTCAGCCTCTAGGTGGTTTGGGCTTCAGCCCCGTACAAGCCACCTGGTCCTAGACAGGGTTAAGCCAAACTTGAAAAAGTCTGTATGCATTTACAGTGCAGCCCTAGGTCTGGAAAAGCGCAGCTGCTCACCCTAGACCCAGGACAGTGCTATTTTCACCCCAGCACTCAACTTGACTGGGCTATTTTTAGGCCCCAGCCACTCAACCCACTCCCCACCCTTGCTGGAAATGGCAGCCCACATGATCCTGCAAACCTTCCTGCCAAAAACATAATAAATAATAGCAAATGAGGAAAATAATTTAAAAGGTTATTTAAAAAATAATTTGCCTTCTATTTTATCAGAATTTGATTTTGTTTTCAGCTCCTTAGAGTTCTGAAGAGTTTGAGTCTCTGACTTCCTGGACTTGACAGGAATGAGACTGACACCACAAGTAGAAAAAGAGGTTTAACTACAGAAGCTGAAAACAAGATTTTTCCATTTAGGATCATTTCTATATCTCTGATTACAGGAAATTTCTAGCTCCAATGTCTAAGGAGCTGGTAGATATCAATTTTAGTTAAATGAGATATCAATTGCCTTTTTCTTCTGTTTAAGGAGAGAAAATTTCTTTCTCATTTTCCTTACAAAAATTTTGAATATTGAAAAAAGTGAAATCAAAAAGCCCCTTTTCCAATTTAGCTTTAAAGATTTTTCCTTTTGTATCAAACCTGGACATTTTTGTTCAGGTTTAGATATTTTTAAGTACAATGGATCTTTATTCTTTTTCCCTGCTATATACTTTTTGGGTGGCCATTTCCACAACATTTACTGAAGTACCTTTGCAGTTAAAGACTAGTCTTATTTGTTACACATTTTATCTTCTTTATAGGTAGATGCTGCTAGAAGTTCTATTTCATTCTAAACTGTATCAATCTAAATCATTCTATATAATGTGGTTCTATATAAACCAGTTCTGTCTGGCTAATATCTTAAAATATTTTTAAAGGTTTTAATAGATGATATTGAACTAACCTAAAATGTGTTATGTGAGCTAGATATGGAGATTTCCATAAGGGAAGTGTATCAGCAGTTTAACAAGTATCCACTTGTTACTTCATTGTGTCTCCATTGTTACTTCAATCCCCTGTACAGTTCATTAATACTGCATATCACATTTTTGATAATTGAAAGTGTGTAGACACTCTAAATCTCAGTAACACTTTTTCATTCAAACATTTGTATTATTTGTCCAGTTCCTTTCTCACTTTGCTTGATAATATAGTTTAAGTTGCCCTGTTTAGCATTACTTATGAGACACCACTGATTTAAATAGAAAGAAAAACAAAAACTCTCTCCTGGCATGTTAATAAGGTGTTTTCTACCTGTTGAAAGAGCAATAAGATAGACAGGTATTTCCTAGTATTTTATTTAAATAATCCAATTAGCCCAATGGCAAGAACCCATTCTTAATCAATGAGACTATTACAGACATATAAAAACAATGTCTTTCATCTTTCTTTATAGCTAAAACTTGTGTTTTTGCAAAAGTACCTCATGCTGAAATTTCATTTACTTCATTATGAATTCTGTGCATATAGGGCTCAAATGATTGAAACCAGAATTTTAATTTTCTCATATTCATATCATGAATCATAAGCATTCACAGTTAATTCAAATACATATAGTATATGTGGCTCATGTCTAATTACCACATTACCTTTCCCTGATCTTTTTTCCCCTTTTCATTATATACACAGCCCGATGAAACCAATAGTGTTTAAGTCTGAAAATATCCTCCTGTGACATTGTCAAGGTTCATTAAATAGTATTTGTTAGATACATGTCATATAAACAAGCTTTGCATTTTGTAGCTGATAACATTACTTACTGGGTGTGTCTACATCTGAATTTATGTGCACCTAAAATTAATGTGCCTTTACTTAAGGTACATTAAGGCAATTTAGGTACAGATCTACACGTGGATGTGCTAATGCACATTAAAGCACATTAAATTTAGGTGTGAATAGCTAAGTTGCATTAGCGCACATGCAGACATGCTAATGCACATTAACATGGTGTGTATCCATTGATTCACACCATGCTAATGCACATTAGTGCATCTACACATGCGCTAATGGACTTAGCTATTCACAATTAAATTTGATCTCTGTTTTATGGGATTTAGGCTCACATAACCTTACATCACCATTTTGGTGATTTAGGCTAAGATAGCCTAAATCACCTCAAATTTAGGTTCACAGAGCCTTAAATCTCCATTTTTAAGGCACATTAAGGGTATGCATGTATAGACACAGGCCCTTAATAAGACTTAAAAAATGGCAATTTTGGGCTAAGCCTGCTTAAAAGAGGCATGTGTAGATGTGCCCATTGAGTAGCATTTTCCTGAATTTATGCATCTATTAATTTCAAAGCAGACTACAAAATTCAGTGTGAACAACAAAATTCAGATGTTCCACAGTAACAAACAGTGGAGTCGCATCATACGTGCATTTAACTTACACAAATTCAACTATATGCGCTTGGCAAAACAAACAAACAAAAAAACCCAATTTAAATAGTGTGGGCGATTCTGCCCGTCATTCCACTCAATGAGTGTAAGCCCCGGAGTGAGCATGAGATGGGAGACATGAACCTGCTGTTCCCCCAGTCAATCTCAGTTCCCGTGTGCCTCTCATAGTGTGAGCATCTCGCCATGCTGAGTGTGATTCTAGTGTTTAAAGATACGTATTTTTCGTACAACATGGCCCGTAAATGCAAGCTAACTACTTCTTCTGGTGCTCAACTGAAGAAACAGTGATCTGTTCCAACGCTGGAGGAAAAACTGGCTGTGTTGGACTTATTGAGAGACAGTATGTCGGTCTCCAACATGGTGCATAAATATGGCCACAATGAATCTAGCATCCGTGCCATCAAGATTCAAGATAGAGAAATTCGTCAAGCCGTGGCATCAAATACTCCAATAACTGCTAAGGTGATGAGCCAAGTGCATGGTAGGACTTCAGTAAAGACTGAAAAGGCATTAAACTTATGGCTGGAAGACATGAACTGTAAACGTGTGCCTATCGATGGGAACACATTACAAGAAAAGGCTCTTAGCCCCTACGTGCTGTTCAAACCTCCCGCCGAAGAGGGACAGCCTTCTGATGAGAAGGAATTCAAAGCCAGCCAAGGTTGGCTTAACAGTTTTAGGAACGGCTTCAACCTCAAAAATGTGCAAACTACTGGTGAAGCTGTATCTGCCGATGAAGAGGCAGCAAAAGCCTAGCCCGAACAATTAAAATCATAGAAGAAAAGGGCTATCTTTCGGAACAAGTTTTTAATGCTGACGAGACTGGGCACTTCGGGTAAAAAATGCCCAACCGCACTTACATTTCAAAATCAAAAAGACAAGCCCCTGGCTTCAAAGCAGCTAAAGACTATGTGACTGTGTTGTTTTGTGGCAATGCGGCTGGTCATTTAATAAAGCCAGGCTTGCTCTACAGGGCTGCAAATCCCTGTGCCCTAAAAGGCAAGAACAAAAATCTCCTACCTGTGTTCTGGCAATCAAATGAAAAGTCTTGGGTGAAGGCAGCCTTATTTCTGGATTGGTTCCACAAGTGTTTCATTCCGGAGGTCAAGCGGTACCTCGAAGAGAACGGACTTGATTTTAAAGTGTTGCTGATCGTAGACAATGGTCCTGACCACCCTGAGGCACTCTGGTTTGCGCATTATAATGTTGAAGTCCTCTTTCTCCCCCCCAATACCACCTTCATCCTCCAACTTCTCGACCAAGGCGTGATTCACTGTTTCAAGGCCACATACATGAGGCTTATGTTCTCATGGATACGTAGCACTATGGATGCTGATCCCAATCTTAATGTGATGGAGCGTTGGAAGTCCTTCGACATTGTCGATTGCATCATTTATATTAAACAGGCAATGTATGCAATCAAGCCTGAAACTGTCAATGCATGTTGGCGAAACCTATGGAAAGAATGTGTGAATGATTTTAAGGGTTTCCCAACCATTGACAAAGAAGTGAAATGCATTGTTCAGGTGGCCAGGCAAGTGGGTGGTGATGGCTTCATCGACATCCTCAAGGAAGAAATTGAAGAATTAATTGAGGGCCATAGAGAAACATTGACTAACGAAGAGTTAGAGGAAGTGATAAAATCGTCTACAGAAGACAAAGATGATGACGACGAACAGGAAGAGCCAGCAAGTTGGAATCTTCATAAATTTACTTAAGTGTTCCAAGCAGCGAAACACTTGAATGATGTAATTTCTGAATACAATCCCTCTATGGAACGAAGCCCCAAAATCACATGTAGTATTACGGATGATTTGAGACCGTACCAAGAAATGTTTGAGCAGCACAAAAGACAACAGTGACAGTTACTGATCACCATGTTTTTCAAGAAAAAACAACCAGCAGCAGATGAGCCTACGCAATCCACTTCTCAATCTGAACCAGAGTCAACCACTTCGTCTATGACTCACTATCCATAATTTTGACTATACGCGATTTTCGCTTTACGTACTGACTTTAGAACCTAACCTCCACGTAAGATGCGACTCCAATGTATTATTTTTTGTTCTCACATGACACCCAGATAAAAAGTCAGGCTAAATGATAACAACATTCGGATTAGTTGATTTGCATACTTTGGTTTAGCCTTCAAATATATTTATCATATAAACAGACAAAAATTGATACTATTACAGGTGCTATAATGAACTCACAGGAAAGGAGGCATTTCAATTACCTACCTGGATTTAGAAGAAAATGATTTGATTTTGTCAAGTAGAGATTTTGGTTTCCCCAGGAATAAAAAGGATTGAGTTTATTTTTTCTACTATTTGCTTTCAAAAAGCAATAAAGTACAGACACAGTCAATGTATACTTCAGCTGTTTATTGCTGGAGTAAAAAGGTTGAGACAACCCCACAAGAGCCAAACCTGAACTATTTGATAGATAGCAAATACTGCACTTGTTATGGGAATTTCCTGAGCAGAACTGGGGAAAATAGGTGCAGAAAGCAAAGTTTCACTGAGCATGCAGGTGGAAACCTTTCAAATCATGCAAGCCAGCTAGATATCTTCATGGCAAATTTACAATCCCTGATAGTGGTACTCCCAAAGGATGCTCACTATCCTGGGCAGGCTGCTTCTGAAACTGAAAGCACTGAAGCTGCAACTGTGCAGGTGGGCTAACTACTTAGGTAGCAGGCTACAAAGCATTGTGTCTCAACATGCTAATTAACCCATCTCAAACACTGTGAGGGAATGACTACACTGTATGGATGTGTGACGCTTCAGTGGCTGATTTGATTCAGAGGAGATTCAGCTCAATGCAGGGACTGAATCTCAGAATCTGTATCAAATTGGGAGACCAAGTAAAAGCTCCAAATTGATTTGAAGTGTCCAAATTAATTCACAAAAGCTTTGAAAAAAGATTTGTCCGATTCCGAGATTTGACCATAGATTAACAGGCAGCTAACAGCTGCCTCCAGCTGGTAAGTCTTTTGGGGTTGGGCGATGGGGAAGGGAAGGGATGTGGGGGAGGGAGGGACTGGGGCTGGGACAAGCTGCCCAGCTGCAGCGGGGTGGGGTGTGTTACTTAAGGAGGGGGATGGGGGAGCACAGGATGCAGGAGTGGCAGTGCTGTGAGCAGGGGCTCTGCCCTGCTGCTGCATGCCCAGCCAGGGTGGGAGGAGGGAAGGATGCAGCCAAGGCTCACTCTAGGTGGAAGGGGCAAAGCACTTTTGTGGGTGTGGCATTACTGGGAGTGGGGGCTATGCGCTGCTGCTGCCTGGAGTGAGCTGCACCTGCATCATGCCCCTCCCCCCCCCCAGCACTAGCTTGGCAAGCAGCAGGACAGAGCTCCTGTGGCTCCCCCCCGACCCAAGACAGAGGCAGGCACAGCTGGAGGAGCTGTGGGAGAAGCTTCCATGTGAGAAGCTTCCATGCCTGCCCTGCCCAGCCCCATCCCCCACCTGGCCTCAGCTTCCTGGCACTTAACAAAGAAAGGAAAAAAGTCCCACACTCACCAGTTGCAGCAGCAGTGATTGGGGCCTCTGAGTGCTGGTGCCAGAGCCCTCCCATGCAGTGCAGAGCAGTGGGGGAAGCAAGGATTGTCCCCCCCACCTAGCACCCCCACCTAGCATCATAGGGCAGCTGCCCTATGATGCAGGTGCACCACAGCTCGGCAGGCTGCTGCACACTGTCTGGGAGCTGGGGCCACTGGAGCTGAGTGGTGCTGGGCACTGGCTGACACATGGAGCTACCCCAACTCCCAGGCAAGTCAAACAGAGAGCTGGGCAATTGAACTTGCATCTGGGGAATCAAACCAGGGGCTGGGGAATTGAGCAGGGAGATGTTTGAAGCATGTTTTATTCACCAGCTCCCTGTTCAATTCCTTAGCCCATGGTTCAATTCTCCAGTCCCCAGTTCAATTTGCCTGTGAGCTGAAGCGGGTCCAAATATCAGCTGGAAACCAGCACTGCTCAGCCACAGTGGCCCCCAGTGCCCAGGCAGTGTGTGGCACCCTGCTGAGCCACACTGCACCTGCGCCATGGGACAACTGCTGCATGGGTGCCAGGCAGGAGGGGAGATCCTTGCTGCCCCCCATTGCCTCACACTGCAATGGGGGGGGGGACTCTGCCATCAGTGCCCAGAGGCCCTGATTGCCACTCCTGCAGCCGGTGAGTGTGCGGCTATTTTTTTTTTTTAAGTGCTCGGAGGCTGGGACAGGGTGGGGAATGAGGCCTGGCATGGCCACCTTTGGGTCTTCTCCCACAGCTCTCCCTAGCAGATACAAATCACTGATTCTCTCCAAATCAGTGCCAACTATTCTGAAGCTGATTTGGCCAAATCAGTTCAGGACAGTGATCCAAATCTCTGAATCAAATCACTGTCCTCCAAATCAGCCAAATCCAAACCTGAATCAAATACTTCCCTATTTTCACAGACCTACTACATTACTTCTGTTTAGGTGGTGGTCTATCCATAAAACCACTGTATGCTTGAGTGCACTACTGCTGGGGGTAGAAGTTTACCATATGCACAAAGCCTTAGAAAAGTGTAGTTTGGTTTATAGAGATAGTGGAAGAATTAATCATAATTCTCTGCCTTCCAAAATCAATGAACAAAAGACCCCAAAGCACTGAAATAATAAAAAGATATATACATACACTCTTTGTCCCAAAACTCAGCAGTCCTAAAAAGGCAATATGTTTGATATTATAATGTATGTTATGGAATTATTCTTAATTATAAATGTATGTTAGTATGTGTATATATATGTATACAAACACACCCACACATATACATTACTTTTTTAGGACTATTGATATATATCCTAGAGAATAGTACTGGACTTTTGGTTTTTCGCTTATTCATACTATAAATCACACAATTAGAAATTTTAGACTTGCATCTTAAGCAAAACCATTTTCTGCTTTAAATCTACTTTTTAAAGTTAAAATGCAACACAGGGTAACTGGAGAAATCTATTGGTATTTAATTGTGTATTGTATGGAACAACAATACAAATTATCTTGCTTGGATCCTATGACCCCAGCTGACTTCCTGTCCCTGGGGCAGGACTCGATGATCTTCTGAGGTCCCTTCCAGCCTCAGTGTCTATGAAATCTATGAAATCTATGAAACATAAATACAGAAACATTAGATGGTAGCTCTCTGCAGTTGAGACAGTAGAGGCAATGGAAGGTGCTAGTTTCCCACCATTTGCCCTTCTGAAGAGATGTCTTCAAGAGAGGTCATAAAGTGATAAGTTAACGAGATGTATGTACCTTTTTTTTTTCCGTACTGTTTCCAAATAGAATTACAAAGAATGTTGAACTAAGCTGTTTTTCCAAATGCACCAAATAGTGCATGTAGGTACTGTAGGAAGTACAAAACTCCCATTGATGTTTTTGGGAATGAGATTTGACTTATAAGGGCATAGCAAATAAATATTTCACAGATAACTTGAGAAATTCCAAAGAGTAATAGTCATTGTAGAAAAGGTTAATATGTTTATTGTTTTTTTTTCTCAAGCATTGTCATTGGATGTTGGTGCGGTGGGGGGTTAACCCATTTTAAATAATACAGTATAAAAATGGAGAAGTCACAAATAATTCATTAATCTTAGGATCATAGAAAAGTAGGGTGAGAAATGATCAAAAAGTTCAGCTAGTCAAGCCCCCTGCTCAAGGCAGGATCATCCTTGACTATGTCATCTCAGCCAAGTGTCTGTTCAACCTGCTCTTGAAAATTTCCAGGCATGAAAATTCTAAAATTTCTCTAGGTAGCTTGTTCTAATGCTTTTATCATCTTATGGTCAGAAAATTCCTCTTAGTCTCCAACCTAAATATCCTTTGCTGCACCATAAATGACCCTACTGCTTCCAGCCTTCCCTCATAGGCAACCTTTCCTCATATCTATATATTTAGTGGTGTTTCATATTAATCATGGATAAATGTTGATTTTGGGTTACTTCTTTAAATCTGAAAACTAGGGATTTTTTTTTACCAGAGAAAACCAGTATCCCTGCTCATAAGTCATGCTTTCCAGGCCTCTAATAATTTTTGTCACTCTTTGCTAGACTCTTCCCAATCTGTACACATCTCTTCTGAACTGTGGGGCCCAGAACTGACAGTACTCCAGGTGAAGCCTCACTAGTGCTGAATGGAGAAAAAGAATCACTTATCTTGATTTGCAAGTGACAATTCTGTAAATACAACCCAGTTTACTGTTGGCCTTTTCCAAACAAGAGTATGTTATTGGTTCATACACAGTTTATGGTCTACAGTAAGCCCCAAATCCTTCTCTGCAGTATTCCACACTAGCCAATTGTTCCCCAATCTATATGTATGTATATAATTAATTTTACATGCATAAATATAGGACTCTGCACTTGTCCTTGTTGAATCTCATCTGATTGATTATGGACCATTTTTCCAGTCTGTACAGGTCATTCTCGATCTTAGCTGTTCTCTCCAGAATGTCTACAGTGTCACACAACTTGGTGTCATCCACACATCTCCTAAGTGTGCACTCATTTCTGTCACCCAGATCATTCATGATGATGTTGAATAATTCCAGACTCAGGAAAGAACCATGGGAACTCAACTTGATACTTCCTCCAAACCTTAAGTCATTGACCTATATTCATTGAACATGATGATCCAACCAGTTATGTATCAATCTTATAGGACTTTTCTCTAATCTGTATTAGAGATGTTCCTATGATAGTCTCACAAGAAAATTTTGGATATAGTGGGCTTAACTGTGAGATGGTTAGGTGGGTATGAAGCTCACTGTAGGGTAGCACCCAGAGAGTCCTAATGCATGGATCTGTGTCATCCTGGTGAGAAGTAGGCAGTGATGTCCTGCAAGGGTTGGTGCTTGGTCCTGTACTTTTCAACAACTTTACCAATGATTTGGATGAGTGGGTGAAGAGCTCACTGGCCAAGTTTGTAGATTACACAAAGTTATGAGGAAGAGTGGTCATGATTGAAGATAGGCTACAGATACAGGTGGATCAGACAGGCTAGCAAGCTGGGCAAGTCAGAACCAGATGAAGTTCAAAATTGAGAAATGCAAAGTGCTCCACCTGGAGGCGAACAATCGCAGCACAACTACAGGCTTGGCAATGCCAACCTGACTGGCAGTACAAATGAAAGAGACCTGGGTGCAGTAATGGACCGCAACATGAATATGAGCCGGCAATGCAACTCTGTTGCCAGCAGGATGAATAATACTCTGGCATTCTTCAATCAGTGCATCTCCAACAAGACCAAGGAGGTGATTCTTCCACTCTACCCAGCACTGGTGAGACCCCAATTGGAGTACTGCATCCAGTTCTGGGCACCACACTTTAACAAGTGCATGGTAAAGATTGAGAGAGTCCAGAGAAGGGCCATCTATATGATTAGAGGCTTGCACATAAAGCTGTATGAGGAAAGGTTGAGGGACTTGGGACTCTTCAGCATAAAAAATAGAAGACTGAGCGGGGCTTGATAGCAGCTTACTGCTACAACCATGTGAGTACATCAGGGGCTCAGTGAACAACAGTTCACCAGGGTGCCCTTGGGTAAAACCAGAAGTAATGGCCACAAACTACTGGAAGACAGTTTCAGGCTCAACATTAGGAAAAAATTTTCACAGTCAGGGTGTCCAGACTTTGGAATAAGTTCCCTCCAGAGATTGTGTAATCGCCTACACTGGAAATCTTCAAGAAGAGACTGGACAGTCATCTTGCTGGGGTCACCTGCTCTCACCTGTAATTTTTCTTGCTTGGTGCAGGGGGCTGGATCCGATGATCTTCCAAGGTCCCTTCCAGCCTTACAATCTATGAATGTATGGAGCTAATTAGTCAAGTCAACTGTAAAGCGTGCATGTAGACACTCCCACAGAGAACTACCCTAAAACAGAGAAGATGCAACCCACCCCAGAATCTGTCCTTTTTCTTCCAGTGCTGGTTAATCTTACTAAGAAAACAAATTTGCTTGTTCCCAATCCTGCTGAAAAAGAACTAAGGAGGTGGCACAAGATACAAACAGACTGTGCTCTACCTGGAACAAGTACCTTTTAGCCTCATCAATGAATTCATTTCATTTTACGTTTTCCTATCTGTGGTATCCTTTTTGCTACTAAAATTCCCAAACATTTACCTGGAAACATTGTTACACTTACTGTTGATTTTAACAGACAGACATAGCTACCTAAAGTGTGCCACTTAGTATTCATATCATTGGTTTCACTCTGTAGAGTAATTTATGTAACGTGTTGTGAGACCTTGTACAAGTAAAGATATTAGTACAGAGGTAATCCTTGATTTAACAGGAGTTGTTGAATTACTTTGGAGAGAAAGTTCAGTCATCTTGGTCAGTATCTCATGCTTGCAATTTAATGAACTACTCCCACTGATAGGATACTTACTCACAAGGCAAGCCTTATATTAGAAAAAATGTTTACAGCCCCAAGTTAATGGGCAAACAGAAGCAGAATATTATTTTTTACATGTAAAACATCTGCTATACCTGGTTACCACTTAACACTGTGCTGTTGGTTGTGGATTCTTTTAAATTAAGTTTTCTTCCAGACAGTTTATGGATGTCTATGAGGAAACAGACTGAAACCTTGGACACATCTCTGTACTGTATCTAACAGGCATCCTGGTAGAAAAATAGAGTTTTAGAGACATGTAGCCTTAGCAGGCTGTATTGCTGAGTAAGTAGGTTACTGCATTTTTTGAAGCAACTTAACAATTTTTCAGATTAGTAGTTTGATTCTTAGGAAGAACATATGGTAAGAAGAACCAAGCCTTAAGTCACTTGTAAATAAATTAGTGAATGGCAGACACATAAAAAATGGATAATTAAAACTGAGTTGTGTATCTGTGGATACTGACTGTTGTTATGTAATGACAAATAAAGGGATATTTAGGAAATTTGATTTAAAAGAACTTAGGGTAAATTGTGATTTAAAACCAATTTTGAGGGTGTTAGTTCTGCATCCAAGAGGTAGTTTCATATTTTATACTGATAAGTTGCCATAGGCTTCAGATAAAATGACACAATTTAAAGCTGGTGTTTTTGAAATACAGCAATTTTGTGCCATCATAAGAAACACACGAGAAGTTTCAGTAAATGACAAGAAATAGATCTATTACAAAAAGGACAGGAAAAAATAATTCTGGCAGTACTATATTTTAAAGTTTAACCTTTCAGTTTTTGTAATAGATATAATGAGGTTTGTGAAAGAAAAACAAAAGCAAAATACACGACATCACATTTTTGTTACACAGTGAAATATAAAATATTCCAAATAAAACACACTTTCAGTTTTCAAATGTGTCAAAAAATTGTGTTTTGCCAACAATTACATTTTTTGTTATAGCCCTACAAAAATAATATGAAACCTTTTGCATGTATAGGCCTGATATTATAGTTCCCACAAAATTCTTTAATTCAAATTGACTATATATAAATCCAGAAGAACAAAAAGTTTCTATGATAACAACAACTTCTTATATCTTGTCAAGGGAAGACTTTGTTGTAGCAAAACCCAAAATTATTTCCTTTGAACAAGAGGAACAAGAAGTAAGCATAATTTCCTACTGAAAAAGGGACTATATATTGCTTAATAAGGTAAAAAATTTTCTCTCTGATCCCCCCTCTACATATTACAGGTATTGCACAATTAACTGGTTAATTGCACAATTACTTGGAGACTAGTTACATGTGCAAAGTAGCTATCACCAGGGATCCTGGTTTTCTCTGATTAAAAAAAAAAAATCAGTTAAAAAAGTAACCCCAAATCCACATTTTTCTGTGATTAAAATGACATACCATGTGTGGCATGGCAGGAGGCAAGATTGTGTGAATGGAGCATTAGATTCCGTCATGCCTTTACTTGCACTTATGAAGGGTTGAGGATATTTTATTTTTTAAAAGGTTCTATGTATATGTTAGTAATTTTAAGTAACAGAACAGAATTAATTATGGTAGTGTAGACTATAAATTTGTCAGTTCTTCCTATTTATATAAATGAATAATCAGCCTAATTAAGGACTGTGATATTTATATTGATAAGTAATGTCATATTTTTATTCATTGTGTATTGCATTGGAGCCCTTTCTACATTAATTTTTCATTTTTTACTTTCAATGAATATAGTATTTCCTAATTCACCTTGAAAATATGAAGATAAGAATATGCATGCAAGACTGAGTTCAATGGTTTCTCCATAACTCAACTACTGACACCACTTAATAGGGATGCTACTTTATTATATCATTGTCGTCTGATTATGAGCTCACATCATCAGTAGTACCTAAGGACACATTTGGCACCACCGTGGCTTGTAATGAGGACTCAGTTGAGACTTAAATTATGCAAATCAAAACTCTCATATTTTGACAGTACCACCTTCTTCATTTTGTATTTACAAGTTTCCTAACTGTCACTGTGCCCTGTGCAGCTTGGGCTTCATCCAAAGTTTGCTGAAGTCAATGAAAAGATTAAATTAACTTTTGTGGACTTTGAATCAGGCCCCTGACAGTAGCACAGGCCATAAATCAATTTGTTTTCTGACTTCTGTATTGCTGTTCTCCAAGAACCTAGTTCAGCAGTATTCCTAGTAAGAAAAGTATTGTAATAATTATGGATGTGATACAGTGTGGTTTCAGAGAAGGCTATAAATGGGAAGTATGCAGCTTTGGGTTCCTAAGTGGTTAAAAACATTCTTATTTGATTTATTCCAGGTGCCAGAAGATGCAAGGCACTTGGTGTAGTCACTTGGTGACTGAAGTTTGCATCTTAAAAATGCACGGCTGTTTTGGCTTCTGATTATCTCCAGAGCCATGCTATTTTACGGTATCTATGTTCCATTACATCTACGCTGGTGCTGGTGTGGCACCTAAATCCATAGAGGGACTCTGAAAAGGCCTAGTTCACACTGGCAGTACTAAGACCAGTCAACCCATCTTTTGTGGTGCCACCCATCTTTTACCCAATAACATAGT